GAAATGGAGTTTCCCATGGAATTAAAATGACAATTTATGAATAGGTTAATGGTGTACAATACGAAGGAAAAGAAGCTTGAACTGTTCTGATTCTACATAAAGAGTGAGTGTGAATGCTTCAACAGCCTGAATAAAATGAAACGAAATAATTCACTTAATTTCAGTCAGAAGGCAGCAGAGTAAAGGCTTAATCGTTTCACACCGGTTGGTTTTTCAATGGCCCAAAATACCTTTTCATCTTTTTAGCACTCACCAGACTGAATATGGCCTGCTTATTTTATTGTTCCAGTGGAAAACACATTTTAACTGTTTGTTTAAATACACTTGTCAACTACAAGCTCATTACATGTCTAACAGATGTGGTTACATCCAAATGTTATGCATCAGAATAGTAAAACAGCTTTTACTACTGGTCAGGAGTATGTGAGATAATTAGCATCAACAACGGCACATTCCTTTGTTGTTTGTTCAAAAGTGAATGTATCATTCATGCAAGTAGAAAAGAAGACTACTGCAGTTGGGAAACATTACCACCAACATGATTTTCTAAAAAAAAATCACAATACTTTTGCTGTCTAAACTAAAAAAAACAGCTATTCAGAAGACTAGTGTTTAGAGCCCAGCCGACATGGAAATTATGGTTATTGTCAATACTGGTATTGAGAGTGGAAGGCTAATGCCAATAATCAATATAATGGCTGAGAATTTTTGAGCTTTGTCCACTCCAAGAATCTAAGTAAACAGCTACTTTTAAACCTGTTTTAACACTTGTTACAAAGTTATTTTACCTTTTTGAAATACTTTTATTGTCAAAAGTATAGTTCTTACAAACGAACTGCATAAGAACATTAATAATGTAACATTATTTTTATTGGTGAACTATGAGTCCTTCTTATATCCTGCTCCACCATTTACAGCATTTGCACTGCCCTGGAGTGGTTCCGATCATACCTGACGGACAGAACAGAATTTGACTCCACTGGGCGTGCCAAGTCATTGAGCCATCCTGTTTCTTGTGGTGTGCCCCAAGGATCAGTCCTGGGACCCCTTCTTTTCATCTTGTACATGGTACCACTTGGGTGTATTATCAGCAGCTACTGGGTCTCATTCCATTGCTATGCTGATGATACTCAGCTGTATCTTAAGCTGGGTAGCAATGTGTCTGAGACCCCATCTACATCATCTTCAGCTTCTCCATTTTCTCCACTTTCTTCTCTTTCCACGCTCACGACTTGTCTGGAGGAGATAAAGGCATGGATGCAGCAAAATTTCCTTAATCTTAACAGTTCAAAAACGGAAGCAAATTCAACAACAAAAAATCCTCAGTATCACTTTCTCTGGCCAGAACATTTCTCTTTCCATTAGTCACCAATCTTGGTGCTATTTTTGATACAAAACTCACCTGTGAAATGCATATAAAGCACATCTGTAAAACTTCTTTTTTTTATCTTCAACATATTGCAAAGCTTCGGTCTACACTGTCCTTCGCCTTCGTTTCCTCCAGACTGGACTACTGCAATGCACTTCTTTTTGGGATTCAAAGACTACAGTATGTCCAGAACTGCGCTGCCAGGGTCCTGATGAGAGTGTGTAAGCATGAGCACATCACCCCTGTACTCCATTCACTATGGTTTCCTGTTTCTGCCCAGATCACTTACAAAATGTATCTGCTCACCTTCCAATGCTTGTACAATAATGCACCATCTTATTTAAAAGAACTTCTCACCCCTCATTGTTCTTCACGCACTCTCCGCTCTTCCAACACTCATCTTCTTCCCCCTCCCAGGTCTCGGTCCCGCACAACAGGAGACCGGGCTTTCTCCTGCGCTGCCCCTCGGTTGTGGAACGCCCTGCCTTCATATCTGAGGGCCCCACAGACCGTGACATGTTTTAAAAAAGATCTTAAAACCTTTCTTTTTACCCAGTTTTTTAATTGATTGCATTGTACTTTTGTTTTTTATTCACCCATAGTTCTTTTTTGAGTATTTTATCTGCATTTTGTGCATTTTAAGTTTTTGATGTGTTCATTCTCTCGGTTGCTTTTATGGTTGCTTTTTATCCAGATGTTATCTGATTTTCACTCACTGTAGCACCTTGAGATCCACTGTGAATGCAAAGTGCATTATGAATAAAGTTATTATAAAACTAAACACTAAGCAAATCAGATCCACGCTATACCTAGTCCCACACTAGGTTTACAAATGGTGCACTGGTCATAAAAATAGTCTTCCTAATGTGCGTCCACATTTTCTGTCCTCTCTTATTCACCATAAAGTTATTGTGTTACAAAAATATAAATTAAACAAAGAAAAGCTACTCCCTGTTCATTGTTTCAACAGTCACCCATGTATGGTGAAGGCCTAGCAGTGTTTTTTCTTTGCAGAGAAAATAT